AGCAGATGCTCCGTCTCTCAACCCCCAGCTGCACCTCGCCGTGAGAAAACAGAGTCACCGCCCGCCATGGACAATCGAGCGTCGCCAACCCCGCCCACCGCTCGCCCCAGGAATTCCGCCTCGTCCATCGCATCCTCCTCCAACACGACGTCACATGCCGCGCCTGCCTCGCAACAGTCTGCCGGCATGCCTTCAAATTCACGGGCCGGGCGCGGGAGCACGCCGACGGCCAGCCGGTCTGCCTCCAAACTCATCGACCAGGACAAGCCGACGCGGGCAGCAAGCAAAGACAGCCTCAAGCAGAAGATGCTGACCAAGAAGGACGAGCCTCCACAGCTGGGTCGTGCAGATGAAGTATGAGACTATTTATTACAGGATACATGCATCGACTAACCGTCCGCAGCAGCTCAAGGCGCTCAAGTCGGAGTTTGACAGCCTTCGCACGCATCTCACATGCAAGATCTGTGACCGCTTACTCTACCAACCGTACACCATATCCTGCGGGCACACCTACTGCTATACAGTAAGACGCGCACCCTCCCACCGCATATGCCACCCTCTAACATGCCTAGTGTCTCTGCACGTGGTTCGTCGCCAACAAGGCCCGCAAGACATGCCCCGACTGCCGCATCGTCGTAAAGGACCTGCCCGCCCCCGCCTATGTGGTAAGTCAGCCTGCATGCCCTTCAGCGACGACATCTAACATAGTTGGGCAGATACGAGACATGACGAGCGTCTTCATCGCGCGAGCCGAACTACTACCTACGGGCGAGAGCATAGAAGACCACAAAAAGTGGCAGAAAGACGAGGCAGATGCTGTACAGCTGGACAAGGATAACGCGGACCCCCGCGCTGGCGGTCTCTTCAAGGGCTGCTTCAGGCTTCCGCCTCACCAAAATCGCCTGTCACTGCAAATCGTGCGCGATCAAGAAGATGGAGTTGACCGATGTCCGCTGTGTACCTGGGAGCTGGAAGACGGCGGATGCACCCATTGCGGACTGATATTCGACGAGACAGGCGAAGTCTCATGGGGCAACAGCTTCACCGGCTTCAGTGACATGGACGAGATGTCAGAGCACGACCAAGACGACCTCGACGCCGAAATGGACATGGAGGACCCCGACTACGACGGCTACGGAGACGGCATGGAAGACTGGGGCGCATACCCCCCAGATCAAGGCTCGTTCATGATGCGACGCTTCTTGGACGCTGGCATGGCACCCAATGCAGCGGCATTCGCAAGACGACGACCGATCACGCACAGCGAAGCCGGCAGCCGACGTTCCTACTCACAGAGCATAGTCTCAGACATGTACGGCGACGAGATGGATACGGTCGAAGAGGAAGACGAAGATGGCCTGGACGAGGACTCTTCGATGAACGACTTTATCGATGACGAGGCCGTACCTGCATCGAGTTCACCCAGCGCCGCATCGTCTACTCCTGGCCCCGCTGCCCAGCCTTCGGCCAACAGAGCGCGTGCCCGAGCACGTCGCATCGTCGAATCTGAGTCATCATCAAACCGCTCAAGCACCGTCGAGGAGGAAGACGAAGATGAGGAAGACGAGGGGCCCGTTCGTAGAGGCATGAGGAATCCTGCTCAAACCCGTGTCTTACATCGGGCAAACGGGTCGAGATCCTCCCGTGAGACAGCGTCAACAACCTCCACCGACGTCTCCACTGAGGAACTCGACGAAGATACACAAGCACTGTTGCGAGAGGAGGGGTGGGAGCTACAACGCGACTACGACGACGAGATGGGAGAAGAGGATGAAGATGACAGCGATGGAGGAAGGACGACCGTTGGGTGGGAACCGCTTGCGAACTCAAATGACAGAAGCCGAATGGGCGGTTCTCTAACACCTACTGCAGATCGTCCTCGGCCTAGTGCCCCGATACGCCCGCCTTCCAGAACCGCCAATGTCCGCGTCTTGAATACCTCGCGTGGTCTCCGCCGAAGATCCTCTGTCCTGTCGGGCGCGACAGCCCACTACGAAGATGGGGAAGCGGACGACGATGACTCTGACCAAGATGGCGACGTCGATCTAGCCCTGAACACCTTACGGACGCGCCGCTCACAAGCCCATCTGCGAAACCCTGCAGCTCGCGCTTACAACCAGGGGCCTGCTGCTGCGGATGGAACCAACGAGGCGGACACTGATGATAACTCGGATAATTCCCAAGGGCATAGGCGAGGGGCTCCTCGCGTGCCACGCCGGGAATACGATCCGCGTATCAGTTGGATGTTCGCTGCCCATCAACAAGCTCTCCAACAACACCAGATGGCAGGCGCTTTGATAGACGTCGAACCACGCACCATGACGCCGCTGTCTCGTCCTCGAACAAGGAACAGAAATCGGCCCAGTCCCGCGCAAGCTTATTCCCCTTTTCTACCTCCTGCGCGCATTCGAACGCCGCTTATGGACAACGGCACGAACTATATCATGGATCCGCGACTCCCAATATCGCCACCTCGACGAAGCGCCATGTCACCTGGCTTACCAGCGATGGGCAATGCCGGTAACATGAGCCGCTTTGATCGTGCGCCTTCTGTTGGTTCCAACAGCAATAGTTCTGCCGTCTTGACCCCTGGAAGTTCTTCAGCCTCTTCGCAACACTCCATCGATACGATAGCACAGACACAGGCAGCTGCAGCCATGGACATGATAGATCGCCCTATAAGTCGCGTCGGTGCTCGCCCATCTTCGGCAAATAGCAGGAGGAACTCTGGCAACTTTGCTGCAGCGAACGCGTTTCCTCATGCTGCCATGGGCTTGCATGTCCAGGGTGCGGCTCTTCCTCCTTTTGCTGCGCGCGGTAACCCTTGGGCTGCGTTTGTGCAGGCACGTGGTGTGCGCAATCGTAACTCACGTCAAGTTCTCCGTGATCAGTCTTCGGTGGCTACCTTGCGCCCAGCGAGCTCTCGCGTCAATATTAGAGAGGCTGGCAACCCTCCGCAAGGTGTGAGGCCTCAGCCATCACGTCTCAATCTACGACCTCAGCCATCGCGTCGCCAACTCGCTCCTCAGCCATCTACACGAGCCTTGCGCACAGCTGATAATGGGAGACCTCCCCCCTCGCCTACACAGAATGTACAAGTCCCTGCGCAACCTGCTGCTCGTTCCGTCGGGCTGACTCCGGACGAACGCAATCTTCGGGCTCGGGAACTCATCGAGACCAGAAGACAAGCACTTGGCCAGCGAGACACGAGTGTGCCCGCTCGTACCAATCCTTTCACACAAGGCTTCCAGCGTCCGGCGAATCCAACTGGCTCTCCTCAGATGCAGCAGCCAGCTACAGCACAACACGTGAGGAGCAACTCAAACGAGTCCAGCAACTCCACTGGGACGGTTCAAGGTGCTCCTGCATCACCAGTGCTTGGTCGACGCCGTAGCAACCGCAACATGCTGAACTCTACGCCACCCGGTGTTCTCCCACCGCAACAAGGCGCTTATGCTGCTCCTCCCGCACAGTATGCAAACAGCTACTACCGACCGCGACCAGGTTCTTCGGGCTCACCCGGAGCATATGAACCCACTTTGACGAACAACACGCGGGGAAGTCCTATGATGGCGGGCCCTCTTATCTAACACGACGTCGTATCCTAACAAATGTTTCCTTTATATTATCGCTTTGTTGCTTTGGTGTTTTGGGCATCACACTCCTTTAGTCTTGGACTATTCTTATCCTTTGGGGCTACGAGCATGGCGAGCGTATGTTTGTTTTTACGTCTGTTTTTAGCGGCATCAAAATGGGTTCAGCGAGCTTTGTCGAAGCATTTACTGGCGTCATTCATTCGGGTATTATACCATGGCATGAGCGATTGGGTCCTGGGCAGGCATAAACATGAACGATGGGGAAGAAAGGGGATATTATCTTAGGTTATTCGCATTTGGGGTGATGAACATGAGATTTTTGATGGTGCTATACTTGTAACTACACGAAGGTGACAAGCTAACTCTGTTCTGAAGCAGCTGTTCCAGACTTGTTCTTAAGTTGCTTGCGCTGGTCCTTCCTTGCTTCCTGTCCCTCCTCTTCTGAGTCCTCTTCTGGGTCCTCTTCTAGATTGTCTTCATCTCCTTCCTCAGCCTCTTCGTCCCCTACCTCATCTCCTTCCACTTCATCTCCCTGTTGCTTCTTTCGCTTTGTGTTCTGCTCCTTCTGCTTTCGATCCCTGCCTGCCCGTCCCTCATTCCACACCTCCGTGTTCTTATCTCTACACTCCTTACAGTTCACCCAGTTGGAACGGGCGTTGTCTTCCAGGTAGTTCTCCTCACACTGTTTGCATAATCTCGGCTCCTTTGTTTTGCTTCCGTCCGTCTTAACGCTTGTCTTCTTGATGGCTGTTCTGTTGACCTTTGCCTTGGCAGCCGTTTTCTTGATGCCTGTCTTCTTTGCTTCGACTTCTTGCTCATCCTCACTCTCTTCATCATCTTTGTCATCCTCGGCTCCTTCATCGCCGTTGCCATTGCCTACCGGCGCAGCAGAAGACCTCAGTTCGAAGCCATAGAGAAAGTGGAGTCTATCTGTCTTCTCCTTGAGTTCCTTCTGTAGAGCTGCGATGCGCTCAATCAGAGTTTTGATCTCCTCACGGAAAGGAATTGGTTGGGGGAGAAGTGACATTTCGTAATTTCGCTGTTTTCCATTTACTCATCGCATGGTTTACTTATATGGTATGGCCTTGTTTGTCTGTTTGCATGGTGCGAAGTCTAGAGAACCTGCAAGTTGGTCGGAGAATGAAGTTGGAATGTTCTCGTACTTGAGTATGGGCGACATGACACACTGCCTTGCGCGGGAGGAGTGAGATTGATGCTACGGCATGTTCTCGGAAAGAGCACCATGACTTTTAGTTGCCCAATTCAGGACTTCACGTTTTGACTACGGAAATATACACTGAGCTCTGGGCCTATTCATGCGCATGCCACATGTCTTTGTACCACTAACTGCTCTTCGCCATTATGCTAGGCAAAGTTGGTCTACTCCAACGCCTATGCCCCCAATCACTCTTGCTCATCCATCAACGCATCCATCCTCTTCGACACCCCCTCTAGGTGCTCACGGGACCTCTTCTCAGTCTCCTCCACATTCGCTAAGCCCTTTTTCAGCCATTCTCTCAAGTCTTTGAACCAGTAATATGCCGAATCTTCCATCTTCTCCTCCTCCTCCCTCAACTCTTCAGTCAATTTCTCCGCAGCCTCAGCTCTAACCCACTTCCCATCCCCTTTTCTGGCGGCGACCGCCTTGGTGAAAGAAGTGAGTCTTTCATTTAGTCCTGCTTTGTTGAAGGCCTTGATATTGCGTTCCATGCGATCGAATCGTTGGGCAAGACTTTGTATGTCAGTTCTGATTGCACTGATGTCCTCTACGAGAAGTTGGCTAGCATCTTTGGCGGGTTGGGTGGCCGGTTTGATGTCTTTCTTCTGAGGGGTTGTGTGGTCCATTGAGCCTGTATTTGCTGTCGTTGTGAAGAAGAGGGTTAAGATGAACAGGATAGGAAGAAGTGAGAAAGCGGGTGGTCTTATAGTGCTACACTACATCCCTTGTGGGTTTGTCACAAACCGAATGACTGGATCGCATGATTACATGGAAAATCAGCGGTTTTCTAATTCGTGGTACGCATGCTTTGATTTCGATAGCCGTCCTCGATCGTTAAGGGTCTCCTAGTGACGAGGCGTTTGCATGTCTTGACAATGATTTGGCTTTTCTTCATCAGCGATAATATAGTCAAGGTGTTGTGGCACGCCTATGATGACGAATACTACAAAATTGGGGTAGACACGTGGAGGCGATGCATTCACAGATCTAAAAACAACAACCATCTGCCCCACGTCTCAGCTAAGCACCTCCCTTCTCGGCCCTTCCCTCGTGGCTATTAGCTACTTTTCAAGCTCGTCAATCCTCTTCATAACCTTCTCAACCGCATTCCCCACCATCCACTCCAACCTCTCGTAGATCCATTCCGGCCCCGCAACAGTCACAGCCTTCCTCGCGTATTCTTGCTGCATCTCCTGCATCGCCTCAGTCTTCAACTGATCCATAACCATACATGAAATCATGTTTGGAACCATTTCCCCCCTCACGGTGTCCTCCACGCAGGTTTCCAACAGGGATTGGAATTCCTTGATCTTATCCGTGATGGTTTTCCTGCCTTCTTCTGCGTCGTTGCGGATCTTGGCTGTGCTTTCGGCGGTGAGAGTATTGACAGTGTTGGTGAAGGCGACAGTTGCGGTGACGAGAGCCATTTTGCTCTCGAGATCAGCGTTCTTGTTGCGCAGGTCGTTGATCTCGCTGGGGAGATCTCTTGTGTCGTTCTTCATGGTGTTCAACTCGTTTTGGAGGCGCTGGAGAGTAGTTTCCATGGCTTTTTGTTTGGTTTGTTGGGAAGTGGACATGACGTGATGGTTTGATGTGAGAACGGTACCGGATGGCGAGAAATAGGTTGTCTTATACAAATCTGGAAATTGTTTGAGTTGCGCTCAATGAGTGCTGCGCGTGGGCTAGATAGCAAATATATATGCTATCCTGTGATCTCAACGCAGTATGCATATCACGTATCGCAGTCACCTACTCACCCTACCTGTGAGTTGTAAGTATTCATTTTGGCACTCCTCATCTCACATTTGTTCCCTACCACGACGCCTTTCAGCGTCTACTTGTCATTTCTACGTCACAGCGATTACGTGTTAGAGAAATGTAGGAGATTTAGGAGAAATTAGAGCTTGACTAGTAACTCGACGAGATCGCCATGCTCACACTCTTGACAGCCGATGTTCCAGTCCGAAAGACATGAAAGGCTGCGGTGATGATACAGCCGACAAGCTCCTCTCCTCGTACACCAACATGATCGACGATGTACATCAAGTATCCCTTCATAATACCGATCCACCAAGTAGACGCCCGCTTGTAGCACCGCGACGAAAGTCTCTCGTAAGATTCCAACACCCTCCTCGCCGTGCATGGCCACCAACAAAGTTGATTAGTCCTGATTCTTGAACTCGCTCAGCTTCTCAAGCGGCTGACCCTTCAACAGCTTCAGCTCCTTACGGTAAGCCTTTCCTCCCTGTCCATCTGCCCCAGCCTCAGCCGTCGACTTCAGCTTCTCCAGCAGAACCTTATTCTTCTTGAAGAGGTTCCGATAGTGCGTGAACATACCGACCATTCGCGTCTGTAGCAGGCCCTTGTCTTTGATGGCTGCCTTCTTCTGCAGCTTCATCTCGTGCTTCGACTTGGAGTCTCGGCTGAGCTCGGCAAGCTGTTCACCTCGCTCGCGGAAGTCTCTACCCAACTTGGCAAGTTGTTGTTGCAGTTTCTCGATGCGCTCACGTGCGACCGAAGCTTCTTCTGCTGACTGCTTTGCGGCTTTCTGGCAGTCGATGGCGGTGCGGCGCTCAGTACCCAGCTCCGCGAGTTTGCCGGACAAGTCGTTGTTTTGCTCAGTCAACCCTTTGTTCCTTGCCTTGAAGCGTTTGATCTCATTCTTGAGTTTCTTAGTCTCAGCGGCGGCGACCTTGACGTCTCCATTGGATCGTCGCATCTTCTTGGACGCGAAGAGCTTCTTCTGCTCGCAGATGTCTTGTGTCAAGGCGGAGACATTGGCCCGCAGAGTACTGTGCTCGTCTTTGAGTTGCTCGACATTGTTTGTGAGGTCGGTGTTCTCTCCTGTGAGTTTCTCGTTGCGTTCACGTAGCGTCTTCAGATCTTCTTCGTGCTCGTCTTTGAGTTGCTTGACATTGCGTACAAGTTCAGCATTCTCTCCTGTGAGCTTTGCGTTGCGTTCGCGCAGTGTCTCCAGATCTTCTCCGGCAGCTTCTTTCTTTTTTGCCTTGGTCTTCCACATACGAGTCTCATCTTGGAGGAGACTGATGGTGCGCAACAGTTGACTCTTCTCATCAGAGAGCTTCTCGTTGGTCTCACGAAGTATCTGAATCTCCGCGCTAGCGTCGTCTTGAGCCATGCCCTCCACTGCGCCACGTCCGTCTCGATCTAGCTTGACCCTGCGCGTGAGCTTTGTCTTGTCCTCTGTGAGCTTCTTGTTACTCTCGCGAAGTATCTTGATCTCTGTCGAGGCGGTCTTCTCCTTTGCCTCATACCTCGCCTTCAACATGGCTATATGATTCTGGGCAATGAGATTGTGCGAAACATTTACTCCTCCCTTCTGCTTGACTGCTTCTTCCAGCTGCGCGATGTACTGATCAGTACGCTTTTGCTCCTCGAGGAGGGATTTCTCTTGGCTTTCCAAGGCCTCCTTGCCCAGTGCTGCTTCCAGAACGTCGCGGGTCGCGAGCATGAATGTAGTGTTCTGTCCTGGACCACGCGCCGTGGTGTTGATCTTAGCAGCAATCGCCAAGGCAATTCTATCGCCGATCTGCGCTCTAGCTGCCGAGCTGGAGGAGACTGCCCAGGTCGAGAAGTCGTCGAGTTCTGTATGCGTTGGACCTTGACCAATACTGACTGGTTTTCTGGCCGCAGGGCTTGGGGAGAGAGCTTGAGCGAAGATGTTGTTGGAGTTGACGCGTGGTGTAGCTTGATCACCCTCGCTTCGCTTTCTGGTCGCAGAGGTAGGAGTGACAGCCTGAGCCGATACGTTATTGATTCTCGTGCGCTTTGCATCCTGGGGTCCGCCGTTCCGCTTCTTGACCGCCGGGCTTGGGGAAACCGTCTGAGCTGAGACGTTGTTGGGGTTTGCGCGCTTTTTGGTTGGATGACCGTTGCCTTTCGGGGCGCGTGGCTTCTCGACCGATCGGACGAAGATGATATCGTCGTCGTCGCCCGAGCTGCTCGAATCAGAGCTTAGGATGGTGATTTCTGGTTGCATCTGCTTGTTTTAGTGCCAGTATCTGCTGGGCAGGTTCGGCGCCGAGTACTTACCGTGTCTGCGGACCTGTTGGGTTGTCGTGTTTAGGCAACGGAGCTTTGAGCTGGAAACAGTGACTATCTGTCGAGACTGCCGCACACGCGGTGAAGGTGAGGGTGACTTGCTGCTAGCTCGGGCGGCAGGACGACCGAATCTGGCTATTGTGGTGCACGGTGAAGGAGAGAGTTGTTGCCTTGTAACGTCAAGCATGCACGCTGTATCCAGTTATGTAAACATGATCGAAGGTGAAGACGAAACTTTAGCGGATGCTACGGCCTGGTGCCCTTGCGAGTTCAGTTGACAATGAAGGCCTTTCAGGGACATATCGAGGTCATCATATCATATCTGCCACAGCTGCCATGCTCTTATGCGTCGCCCGATTCATATGTGTTTACTGGAAGCAAAGGCGATCTAGCCCGCTTGGTGCCGATTGCGACGCGCGGTGAACGAGAACACAGGCTGCCAGCCATAATCACTGTCAATGACGAATCTATCGAATCAACGAGGGCGTTTCATAATGTACTTCTTGCCAGAGCAAATTGTGCAGATGATGATGATATTGTGATGGTGTCGAAAGGAAGGAGATATGTTCACTCAAGATTTAGCTTGGGTAGGCGTCTTCCGCTAATTAGCAACCTGGAAAAGTGCATCATTGACCCACCCCGACACGCGACGTTAGACTCCTCGATACCAATTGGCAGCTCTTCATGCTGAGTGAAATCGTGGAAACGAAGTTTTGTGATCTTCTTGATCATGATACTGGATTGCTACTAGTGACTAGTTTCCAAGTGGCAGGATACACTGCACTGCAGAAGAAAGCGCTCCGTCGCCGATGCCAAACTCCCTGAAAATGCTCGTCTGGAAACACGCGAATGTCTAATATCCCATCCCCATCTGCAATACCTCTACTTCTTCTTGAACAAGCCCTTCCCGAGCAGATTCTTTAGCTTGCTCTCCTTCTCTTCATTGCTCATGTTAGCCTTGCGCTTGCCGTCGGCAACCGTCTGGCCCTGAGAAGCCTCCGGCTGAGCCCTCTCTTCCCGTACCGGTTCCTCGACCTTGAGCGCCTGCGCCTTCGCTTGCGATTCCTGCGAGAGCACATGTCGGCTAGCCCTTGCTTCCGCGCTAGCGTTGTCTGCCCATAGGAACGTGACGAGCTCGTTGTTGAAGAAACGTAGATCGTGCACTAAGCGCTTATTGTCCTGGGGAATGAGGACGAGTCGACCTGTTGGACCCGTGTTCTTGAGCTGGAAGGGCTCGTTCTTCTTCTCCAGGAAGCCGCGTACGAAGTCGTATAGGCCGACGGCGGTATCGGTCTTTGTGAAGTTCATCTGAATGAGCGCATTATCCGGCATCCGAATGCGGAGTGCGCCGCCCTTCTCGGCTGCAGCGTCAATCTTGGCCTGCCGCTCCTTTTCTTGCTCCTCCAATTCTTTGTCAGACAACAGACGCGTATTGCGTGTCTTGGTCAACAACGCGTTTTGATGTGCTTTTGCGTGTTCAATGGTAGGGAGGTAGTCGTTCTCGTTGAAGGCATTTCGCGCTGCTTGCGGAGTGGACGATGTTGGCGCAGAGAAGATCTGGACGTTGCGAGATTGTTCAGATGGCTGTGATGATGGTCGGGAGGTCGGTGCTGGTGATTGGACGGGTTCTACGGGTGCGGACGACGCTGTTGACGTTGCCGCAGCCAATGCTGCTGCTGGAGAAGTATTCTCTATGCTCTCAGCCGCGTTGTTCTCGGTAGACACCTCGGGCTCTTGTGTAGGTTTAGCGGCCGGTTTGGAGTCGACCTCCATCGGCTCTGGATCGGGCTCTTCGTTACGAACAGTTTCGCCTGCCACGACTTCTGTCGCCTCCGGAGCTGCCTGGGCAGGGTCTGGTATTGAGGCTAATTGATCAGTTGTCGAAGCGTGTGCGCCTTCGGCACCGACAGACGCAGGCTCGCTGGACTTGAAGTATTGCGTTATCTGTGCCATGGCCTCTTCCAGCGGCGTTCCGCTATTCCTGTAGGACAGCTTTAATAATGCTGAGCCGCTATCAAATCCCAGCTGACTGAGAGTCTGTTGTAGCTCAACAAAGTTGGCCTGCTCCTTGTGACCTGGCATGACAGTGATGACAGGTTGCTCGTAGTGCAGCCTGCCAGCACCGGATGCGCCGCTCATCTCGGGGATGCCGCGCTGTGTGAAATTGTAATTGGCCCCCTGCCCGCTCTCAAAGTGTCGCAAGATCTCCCATAACGAAGTGTTGCTCGCGAACTTGCTTGTGAGGCGTACGTTCTTCTCGGTCGCGGGGAGCTGGAGCGCTACGGATATGACGGTGGGTGATCGCGAGGCCTGGACGAGTTCCAGTCGGGCGCCCTGGGGGAGGTTTGCGAGCCGTATTTGTTGCGATAGGGATATGGGTTTGTTGTTGTATCTGTACACTGGTCAGTAGTGAATTAACGTATTGTCATGTTGGGGCGTACTTGAGCGTGAACTGGTCCTTGTTGACACCAAACTTCTGGCACGCCTCATCGCGCACCTCTGTCAAGTACTTGGT